ATCTGAATGTGTGAGTGAACCCAGTAAGAACTTTGAAGATTCTTGCAGCTAGGTATGGAGATCTACTAATCTTTTAGTCACCCAAGACAAGCCTCATCATAGGCAAGTTACCTTGCATAGTACACCTTTTATCTACCAGTCTGGAGTGGCCTGCTTCTTTTAGGTCTCTCCTTGCCTCCCATGTACAGGAACCAGTCTGTGAAGCAACAGACCCACCAACGCCCTCTCTAGCTTAAGCCATTTTTAGTTGGCTTACATCAAAAAGAACAATTATCAGAAGAGATTCAAGATGGCAGCAGATTGAGTGGAAGCTACATTGACCCTCTCCCAGGACCAAACTGGAATTACAGCTAAAGTGTAGAAAAACCACCCTGAGTGATCAACTGCAACTGAAGATGAGCTGGGGAGCACCCTCATAACCAAGGACAAAAAGTGGAGACCACAGAGAGGCTGGTAGGAAGTGCAGAGGCACAAGAAGGCTGGCTGGGTTCCCACAGGCAGCAGCTGAAGGTCCAGAGGGATATCTCAGCTGTTGGAAGTTTCCATTTAGAACTCTGGAGTGGAAATCCCAAGCTGAGCTCCCCAGCCCAGAACACCAGAACTCCAGAACTGAGAAAGGTGCCCATATAACATCTGACTGTGAAAAGCAGCAGGGTTTCTGTCTGCCACGGAGAGGCAGCTGGAACTGCAGGCACCCTCTTAAAGAGCCAATGCACAAAGTTTCATTTGTAGCCACCCACCTTGGGCTCTGACAGAGGGAAGGCAGAGTCGACTAGAGTAGTGTGAACAGAATCTAGGGGGGATAGCTGGGGGAACAGATCTCAGAGGGCACCCATCTGGACCCCGGTGCTGGATCATTCCCCCATACAGCAGAGGACATCTTTCTCAGGCAGATATTTAACTTCCAAGCAGCTTTTGCCTGGGGGGAAAGCAATTTCCCCACCCTGCTGGAAAACCTCTGGCACCACTCTATGGAGTTTCTACACCTTGAGGCTCCTTATGAGACTGACAACAATCAGCTGCCCCATTCTGTGGAGTTTCTACACACTGGGGCTCATTAAGAGACTGAATAACAGCCCCTGGGTGCTTTGAGTCTTTGCTTTATTTACTTCTGGACCCAGGGCTTGGAAAAGCAGACCTTGGTGCACATCTTGGTGCTGTCTAAACACACCCAGCCCCAGCAGAGGAAACCAGAAGCTGTGGAATGTGGAAAACTTCAAACAGGGTACCCAAGGCCAGTCACAAACAGCGTCTAACATTGGCCTGTCCCAGAGACCATCCAAGAGACTGGGAGTCCTAGAAGATCTACCTAACACATAGAATAGCAGATCTGCCTAATAAATAGAAACAAATCCAAACAGGCAGCCAAAGTGGGGAGGAAAAAACAAGCCCCAAGTCAAAAAACAAAAGAATTCTCCAGAAAAAGAGCTAAACAAAATGGAGATAAGCAATCTGTTAGATATAGAGTTCAGAATACTGATCATAAGGATGCTCAACATCATGGAAAAAGATATAGAAACTATGAAGGAAATTAAGAATGACATAGTAAAAATAAAAATAAAAAAAACATTGGAAGGAATGAACAGCAGATTAGAAAAAGCTGAGGATCGGATCAGCGAATTAGAAGACAGGGTAGGAAAAATCACTCAATCAAAGAACCAAAAAGAAAAAAACAATTAAAAAACAGGACAGTTTAAGGGAGCTGTGGGACAACATGAAATGTAAAAATATTTGCATCATAAGAGTGCCAGAAGAGGTCGAAAGTAAGCAAGGGTTAGAGAATCTGTTTGAAGAAACAATGACAGAAAACTTCCCTAACATGGTCAAGGAAAAAGTCACACAAGTTCAGGAGGCACAGAGTCCCAAGCAAGAAGAACCCAAAGAGGCCCACGCCCAGGCACATCATCATTAAAATGCCAAAATTTCAAGACAAAGGGAGAATCTTAAAGGCAGGAAGAGAAAAGCAAGCTGTTACCTACAAAAGAGCTCCCATAAGGTTGTCAGATGATTTCTCACCAGACACTATACAGGCCAGAAAGGAATTGCATGAAGTATTCAAGGTAATGCAAAACAAGGATCTGAAACCAAGACTACTCTATCCAGCAAGGCTATCATTCAAAATAGATGGTGAAATAAAAAACTTTCCAGACAAAAAAGGCTAAAAGAACTTATCATCACCAAACCAGCACTGCAAGAAATGTCAAAGGGACTGCTGTAATAAGAAGTTGACATAGAGAGAATGAGAAACATAGGCATAAAAAATAAAATGGCAGATAAGTACCTATAGATAAGTACCTATCAGTAATAACCCTAAATATATATGGATTAAATGACCTAATCAAAAGACATGGGGTAACTGAATGGATAAGAAAATAAGACCCAAATATATGCTGTCCACAAGAGGCCCACCTCAGAACAAAAGACACGTAGGCTGGGGGGAAAAAACAACTTCTGGAGGACTTTAAAGGAGAGATCAATAGGATAGCAATACAGTCATAGTAGGGGACTTGAACACCCCACTGACTTTACTGGATAGATCTTCCAGACAAAAAAAATAAAGGAAATTGTGTCTCTAAATGACATACTAGATCATATTGGTTTAATCGACATTTATAGAACACTGTATGCCAAAGCTGCAAAATAAGCATTCTCCTCAAGTGCACATGGGACATTCTCAAAGATAGACCACACTTTATGACACAAAACAAATCTCTACAAGTTCAAGAAGATTGAAATCATATCAAGCATCTTCTTGGACATTTACACAATGGAATACTATGCAGCTATAAAAATGAAGGATCCTTTACCCTTTGAGACATCATAGAGAGTATTAGGCTAATTGAAATAAGCCAGTCAGAGAAAGACAAGTGTCACATGATCTTACTCATATGTGGAATCTAGTGAACAAAATAAACCAATGAACAAAATAGATCCAGAGACATAGAAGCATGGAACAGACTGATGAATCTCAGAGGGTGTGTGGGGAGAGGTTAACATAAGAATTTATAGGCATATATGCATAACCAATGGACACAGACAATAGTGGGGTAAAGGCCTGGAGGGAGGGGCACAGGGTGGAGGGTATCAATGGGGGGAAAGGGGGATATTTGTAATACCTTCAACAATGAAGAGAAGGTTTTTAAAAACCCACAATTTTCTTGATAAAACTGTAGTACAAGCTTAGTGACTCGGTACCTTTAAAAGAAACGATTAATTCTTAAACATTATAATTATTTTGTTAAATAATAATTAATTCAGTGGGTGCAAAAAAGCTAGCATTTGTTGATCTCTCTGATATAAATCCCATCTATATACTTAATATTTATAGCAACCATGAATATAATTAGCCCATTTTTACAGAGGAGTAAATATATATAACTTCCTACATTTATAGAGGAAAAACTGTTACAATTTCAGGTTTTTTGGACTCTAGAGACTGTTTTTTTATTATGCATTCCAAAACGAAATATAACTTCTCTCCTAGTATAAAATAAACATGAACAATGCAATCAACAACTCTTCCATTGTATAACTGTATACATATAAATGCTCTCCCCCACCCCAATAGTTGATTATCTACACCTATCTTTTCCTAATTTCTTGTCAAAGCAGCATTTTATATTTCTAAGAATCTATTACACAAAAGGTCTCAGGGGGGTTTAAAGGTGGAAGCCTCATGATACCCCAAGGGAGATGATGTGTTCTGGGTTCTTGTGAGGAATAACAGAATAAAATTAAGATGAGATAAGTAATGCCTTCTAGTCCAGGCATTACACTTATGCTATAACAAAATATTATAGACTAGGAGGCTTATAAAACAACACAAGTATATTTCTTACAGTTCTGGAAACTGGAGTTCGATGTCAAGTCCCCTGCATAGTCACATTCACACGAGGGCACTCTTCCTGGTTCATCGCTGGCACCTTCTTGCTATGTCTTCACAAGGTGGAAGGAACAAGGGATCTCTCTGGAGCCTCTTTTTTAAGGCACTAATCCAATTCATGAAGGTTTCACACTCACAACTTAAGATTCTCCCAAACTCTCTGTCTACTCATACCATCACCTTGGGGGTTTAGGATTTCAACATATGAATTTTGGGGGGACACATATAGGGTGTTCCAAAAACTGTATACACACTTTAATAGCAAAGAGCTCAGTTTTGAAAATGAAAAGCATTTTAATAAACACTGCCTTTATAATTATTCATAGTGTGTATATACATATTTTGGGGCCACCCTATATTTATTTAGACAATTGCAATGCCTCACATTGAAGCTAGGAGAACAAAGATTGTCAAGTGATGAGCACATGGTGGATGATTACATTTCTAGTGAAACAGAATTTCTGCATCATGGTGAGGAGTCATTTCTTACACTGTTACTGTGTTGGAAGCTTTGAGAAACTGGCTGAAGCAGCACAACCTTTAAGCATACAGGGGTTTGGGGCACAGGTAGAGAACATTTCTTACATGAAAGATGAAGTGCACTAGTTTGATACTAGTGGATCTTGAATTCCCCAGACATTTTCCTGGGCTGCTTTGATGCCTTTTCTCATTTTTTCATATTCTCTAATGACATAAAATTTCCTTAATCAGGCTAATTAATCAAGTGGAAACTGAGCATGCTCAAGTGTCTAGGAAAATTTGGGATTATAGTTGGCAGTCTTACACCGTTTCGTGTTCTAGTTGTAGGAAAAATACTTTTTCATGAATGTGCAGGGTTATGTATCATTTCTTAGTATCTGGCTTGTGGGCTTTCTTGGAAGCATAATATCTGAGATCAGTACACTCAGAACAAAATAATTGAATTTGGACATAATAAGGAAAGTTCACAGCTCATAAAGATTGGTGAGGAAATGGTGACATAGGAAGATGACTTGTTTGAATCTGTAATGCTTTTAGGAAGCAAGAGCAGAAGCTGAAGGCTTATTCTGCACCGTTACTGGTGGTTGGAGAAAATACATCTGCCTTTCTTCCAGGTGAACAGCCCAAGTCATCCAGGATGATAGTCTTCATTTTCCTAGGTAAGTGGTTTATCTGAATTCACACTACCAGTTCTTCATGCACCAAATTGTTGCCTATCTAACTTAACAGTCAATCAAGCTAATAGGGGTTTATGATATGAAGTATTTATGACAGTTTTACATTTTAACATGGATTATTACTTTTGCAGAGATGTACACTTTTGTTCATTTATAACTACGGAGCATACATAATGTGAAAATTGCATCAATTACTCAGGTTGCTCCTGTGTTGTTTTTTTGTATAGAATAATCCAATTACTTTGAGTTATTTATTAGGATTTATGGAGCTCACATATATACTAGAACCTTTTAGAAATGAAACCTTCCAGAGTCTATTTACAAATTATCAGATGACAAACTTCAGATTATTATCTATTTTTCTTTGAAATTAAATAAAAATGAGATTAATTTAGACCATTCAGTCTCCCTAATTATAAGGTATTAATATTTTAAAAGTTGGAGCCATTTAGTAGAATAAAATACCACCAAAGCAAATGATTAACATTTCAATCAGTTTCTGGGACCCAGAGATAAAAATATGGATATGTTCTTACATTGGGTAGTGTAAATGTATTGTAAGATGTTGGTGAAAGGAGTTCTATTTAAAGTGGACTTCATGAGCTCTATTTGACATATGTGTTATTGGAGAAGCTATTATATTTTCTCCAGCATTTAGTAGAATCTAAATTGAATTTAGAAAAAAGGGATATTTATGATCATAGCTGAATATTAGTAATCCACTAATTAAACCAAAGCCAGTATATTTTTTGCTTATTCTACACAAATAAATATTGATGAATAAAGGTATAATTGTGGGGGAAAAACCAAGAAGGTTATTTTAAATTATGTTGAACACAAAAGTATAGTTAAAGTAAATCAAGTCAAATAAATTAAGGCAAGAAGAAAAGGAATTTTAAAAAATATATTTTTAGTTTCTGTTTGGTTTAAATAATAGTTATTGAGTGTTCCAAAATTTTCTTCTTGTATTTATTTCTAATAACAGTTATTTCTTATTTCTATTTTTTATTATAAAGAAAAATCTAGAAGAGTTTAACTTTTGCAGATCAGGTAGCAATACAACAAAACACAAAATATATTACAACCTCGTTGTGGCCCCAGTTGAAAAGGGCAATGAGGCCTCTTGTTTTCAATGTTTACTTCTAGATTAACCTTAACACTAGGTTGCATGAAGGAGGGAAATCATTTCCAATACTCATAGGGTGAAATTGTACTAGTTGATAGTTTTAACCAGTATTTACTTCAGTTCATTCTTCAAAATACTTGTTTAACATCTAAATAGGTGTTGTGAAGTGAGAAAGTCCAAAGAAACATTGGACATAGTGAATTATTAAAACAGAGTATGTAATATCATAGTGAGCCCTTTATATCTTTAAGAGAGTGAATATAATATAACATTCTCCATCTCATTTATTTTAAAATAGAACCTGTTTTTCACTGAGCACTTCAAGAGGTTCCTTGAAAATTCCTAGATTAAATACATAGTCAGGAATCACAGTCAGGAATGAATAAGACTTTGGAAAGCTGGAGATATTTGGGGTCGTTCGGGCCAAATCATTGAGATGGTTTTTCTAGTTGATTCAATGTTTCATCTGAGTGGAAGGTGTAAAAATTCACGTAAAATAAGCAATCAAGTGAATTGTTCAACCTAAAAAGTTAAATATGAAAGAAAATGAAAATGATTCTGGACAGATACTACGTAGAATTCATTAATGATTATTACATTGGAGGTACCGGTGAGATTTTGCTGATATATCCAGGAGACCATCACCTATGTGTTGCTTAAGGGAGCTAATTACAAGGCAGTGCTCAATGGCAAATAAAATTCCCAGTTTTTTATAAATTGACATAAAATCCCTACTTAAGGGTGTTTGGCAAGCTGGATTCAAACAAGTAGCCTTGGGCCAGAATCCAAGGAGCTCACTTTATCTTTCTCTAAGTCTGCTAACCTAGGATAGGAAGTTGGCCAGATGAGGTCATCCATGACCACATAAAAACAGAGAAAGCTGATATGTCAATTTCCAATCCAGCCCTGAATAAGAAAAATGTGACCGAGCCATACCCATGGCCCTAATCTTCAAATGCTGTGACCCGGCTAGTAGTATGTATGATCTAATCAGTTGTCTTGGATTCTCCTTATGAGAAGAGATTTGGAAAGAGATAGGATAAAGAAAAGCCTTTAAGGGTTTACTTGAAGCCTATAGTTCTATATTGTCACAGATGATTAGTAATTAACATCACCTTCTTAAAAATTCAAGTAATTTGGCTCTAATTAAGATACAGCTACTTTCTTGATATTCTTAGAAAACTTGTTGAAAACTTTTCTCCTCTACCTGAAATAATTTGTAAATACCTAGAAGGTGTTATTTTAATTGAATATTATCAGTTATTTATATATAACTCATCTATAAACATATTCAAGTTGGTGTAGGTTAACATTCATTTATTAAATATCTATAATGCATCATTGTGTTTGATGAACAGGATACAATTATGAATTACGTCTAATGCCTGCCCAGCATATTCCTAAAACCCAGTTATGGAGACAAGCACAAAAATGTACACTTTTATTAAATCATAGTATAGTTGAGGAACTCCCAAAGTTGTAGTGAAACAAATGAAGGGTGTTAAATTCAGTTTGGATGTAGGAAAAGAGGCTATTGGATTAAGGGGGGATTCCCATAAAACAGGTAATTATTGCATTGAGTCTTAAAGACAAAACAGGGTTATTTCATAGGAAAAAGAAATGGAGCACCTACTAGTGACTGTACAGCAAATGCTCAGAGGTACAAGGCAGCATGGAACATTTGGGAAACTATAAATGCTTGAGGACCTCCAGATTGCACATATTGGAGAATATGAGAGTCATGCTATGAGGGACCATCCAAAGGATGAAGCAGAGAAATGGCAGCACTAGAATAGTGTGTTAGGTAATTTAGGTCATGTAAAGAACCTACCTGAATAGATGAAACTGGAGGCAGACTGATTAATGAGTTGGGCAAATAATCTAAATGAGAGTCAATGAATTATGCATGAGTGGATATGGGAGAGTGAAGTTCAGGATAGAAAAGACATCTACGACAAATCCAAGGTTTCTAGTTTGGGTGCCTATGTCAATGGTGGAATTGCTGATCAAGTAGGGTGGTCCACCAGGGAGTGTAACTAGGAGGACAACATTAGAGATATTATAGTCTGGAAGTGTGTTTGGAACATTTTGGTGGGGGTAACAGCATCTATAACTAGAATAGTAGAAAATAATGGGATTGAATTATACCTTTGAGAACCATTGGTCTAGAGATATTAGTTAAAACCATGAGAGTACATGGAATTAACCACAGAGAATGTGTAAAATGAAAATGGGAAAAGTATAAGGGCAGAACCTAAGCTAAAAATATACATTAAGAGAAGAGTAAGAGTATCCTGGGAAGGATTCTGAGTGGTCAAAAATATCAAGTGAATAAGTAAGAAGGGCAGTGGAAGAGAGTGTTACCAAAGGAAGGGGGAGTTTCAAGAACAAAATGACAAAAATGCCCAATGATAAACGTAGGCAAGATGAAGTCTTAAAGTGATTAAATTTGATGTTATGAAAACCATCAGGACATTTTAAATAGTAGTTTCAATGGAGTCATGGTCACAAAAGTAAATTATCAGTTAAGAAATAATTAGGCAGTAAGAAAGAAAGCAAATACAGATTATTCATTCAAGAATCTTATATAGGAGAAATACAGATGTGAAGCTAGAGGGGAGATTATGATCCATTCCAAGCTTGTAATGATTCCATTCCATTTTATTTTCCATAATTATGCTCTTCATCATTAATAACTTAGATTTGAAGTAAGTAACTGCTGTACTGTAATATCGCAAACTTGCTTCTCTTGTTCTGTGACTGTCCTTATTTAAGCCATGGGGCTGTGCTCAGAAAATGAACCCACTTCCCAGAACACTGACTGCGCATACCTGAGAGAGCAGTGCCTAAGGGATGCGACCCGATGCGAGCATGCCTGGAGACGCATGGAAGATGCCTGCACTGTTCCAGGTAAAACAGATTGTTTCAGGTACCTTCAAATGATTTCCTTTTACTGAGATAAGAAGAGGATTGGATATTTTATTTCACTATCTGAGGAACTTAGTTTTGCTCTAAATACTTTACTCAAATGTGATATTAGAGTGATTCCCCTGCAATTGTTTATTAGTGAATTGTAATTATAAAATGGTATTCTTAAATCACTCAAGGGTCCTAATGCATTTACACCATGGGCAGCGTTATGCAAGATTTCAGCCTATCTTTTTTTTTTTTTTTTTACTTATCTCATTATGTATAATGTTTCAATTATCCATATGCTTCTCAGAAGCATGACAACAGATTTTCAAGTAAAATGTTCTTATTAATGTCGATGATAAAGTAGGGAAAAATAATGTTTGTGATGATCAAAGGCATTATTATTTATTTTTAAGTGTATAATATGCATTCTACCTTCTTGCAACACATGGACGCTATTTTGCAATCGACCTGTAGCAAGAACATGTTAAAATCTATTATGATTTTTAACTTGTCCTACATCCCAAACATTTGAGGGGAGGCCCAAAGGGTAGAGCATGTGAAGATCAGAGAGTCACTGTTATTTACTTAAAAGAAAAAAAAGTTCTAAACATATCAAGTAGCTGAATAAATATTGAGTGAGAGCATTATAGGAAGACTCCATTTACTAAAAGTAGATAAACTGATTATATAGTGGAACATTGCCCTAATATTATGATAAAACTTTTCAAAAAATCATATTCTAACATAATCATTTTATCATCCTGTATAATGAACATTATTAGACAATAAAACCTAATCAACTATATTCCCCATGACTCACTTTATAGCTCCATCCATTTCAGCAAGAGTAAGTTCTATACAGCTCGTAACTCTCGCCTATTGGTGTGTGCTTCCCCTGCCTCCCAAAAGATGCCAGGTGGCGTGGGTTGGCTTAAGAGGCAGCAACCTGTAATTCTAACAGTGCCAGTGCTCACAGTCCTCACCAGCGGAGCTGCAGGAATTACACAGCATGCAGAGGAAGGGGAGAGATTTCCTTCTCTTTCCTGCCCTTGAAGGGAGAGTACAGGGGCTGATCATACTTCAAAGAAAGTCACAGCTCTCTAATCCAAACATTCTCATTACTGTTTAGGAAAAGATTTTCAAAGGCATAATTTGCTCACAGTGACCTGTGTTTTTAAGTGAGAATAGAGGATAATGACAAAAAACAATCTATTTGTTTTAATGATGAAGCTCCTTGTTATATTTTATATGGCAATTTATAATATCACATTCAGTGTGTCATGAATTAGAGCATGTTTGTTTATTTCCGTAAGCAAATAGCAGCAAATTTCAATGTTTGCATAATTATCCCAGGCATGAAGCTGAAATAGAAATATTCTCAAATACACAAATAAAATGATCTCAAGTAGTTTTATTCAGAAAAATGCAAAGAAAAAAACAAGAAAGACAATTGTTAGGTGGATGAATATGGCTTTTTAAATTAAAACAGAAAATGAGTTAGTAGTAATTATGAAAGACTCATTATTTAATAATGTTTATTGAGTGCTTTCTAAGTGTCAAGACCACTTCATTTCCCGTGATAATTTTAGAGCCACCTACACATCTCTTGTTATAATCTTAGAATGACATGTAAAATAAAATAGCAGATTAAGACAAAATAGTTAATGAAATAGCTAAACTGACAAAAAAACTAAGGTTACAGAGCATCTGGTCAGGTCATATAAGGGCAGCTGTGATTATTAGTGAAGACCAAGTATTGGCAGTCTAAGTGTTGACAAAGCTATTTTAAACATGGAAAATTTGTAATTTATTTTAGAAAATAAATATTGGGGAAAAACAACAGTAAAATATATTTTTTTTGTTAAAAAGTTACTTATATGAATATTGTGCAGCAACCCCAGAAAAATCTTACTATAATAATGCATTATTCAAACCTGGCCAGATGGCTCAGTTGGTTGGAGCATTGGTCCATGCACCGAGGGGTTTTGGGTTCAATTCCCAGTCAGCACACATACCTGGGTTGCTGGTTGGATCCCCCACTGGGGTGGCTAAGGGAGGCAACCGATCAATGTTTCTCTCTTATGTTGATGCTTCTCTCTCTAAAATAAAAACAAACAAACATACCCTTGGGCAAGGATTATATAAAATAATAATAATATAATGAATTATTCAGATTAATATGTTAAAATTATTGGGTAAAGTTATATTCACATTAATATCTGGAGTGCTGTATGTTTGACTGTGAAATACAGGAAACCTCTGCAAGATGAAGGAGTCCGCAAGCTGTAACCTGAGCGTTCAGTCCTTAGTGGAAAGCAATTTCCAACTTAAAGATTGTCTATGCACTGATGACCTCTACTGCACTGCTAACAAATTGCTTGGGAAAAAATGCATCAATGAATCAGGTAATACATTGTTATATGGAATATTTAGAGTCATGCAAAAGAAAAGTACAATTTCAAAATTAATCACATCTATGTAATTTTATTACCTTTTTAATAATTTGATTGTCTCCATGCAATTTAAGATTCTGTGAGTTGTAGATTTCCATATGTGCGTAACATATTTCTGTAATTACACTGAAGTAGTGGTAATCAGACTTGTCTGCATATGTCCATAAGGGTAGATACAGATTTACCAAGGGATATGTGACATCAAGGAGTTCTACAGCAATCGATTTCCAGATCCTCAATGTGCCTATGTCCCGTCTCTGAAAAGTGGTGAGCTTGCGAATGTATCCGTTGTCATACCGAGAGTTCTCGCCTCTTCTCTCACAATCAACCTTCTCCTACTTACAAGAGATAAGCTTTCCCCTCATCTATCTTGAGTGGTCCCACTGCCCAACTCCTCCAATCATGCCTGGTGACCTCATTCAACAATTTTCTGTTCCATAATTTTGCCTTTTCCAGAATTTCATGTGAAGGGAAGTATATAGCATGTAGCCTTTGGAGCCTGATTTCTTCTATTTGAGATTCATCATTGGTTCATGTATAATTTTGTTCCCTTTTTTGAGGAGTAGAATTCCAGTGTCTGGTGAGACCACAGGTTGGTTAACCATTAAGAGTCACTTGTATTGTTTCCAGGTTTTCAGAGATATAAATAAAGCTGTTATAAATATTCACAGGTAAGAACTGCATAAATATAAGTTTTTAATTTCTCTTGGGTAAGGAATTGTTGGGCCATATGATAAAGTGTATGTTTAACTTTTAGAAAAAGATTCCACACAATATTTCAAATTTGATAGAACCATCAGTATATAAAAGCCTAGTTGCCCCACATTCTCAGAGCACATGAGTTTTCCTGATACTTTTACATATTTTGTGGCCCTATGCTGCGGTTTTAATTTGTACTTAAAAAATAACACTGACCATATTTTCACGGGCCTATATGCCATTTCTCTATATAATTTGTAAAGTGTCTCTTCAAATTTTTGCCCATTTAAAAATTTATTATGTATAAAGCACAAATATATATATATATATATATATATATATGTAGTTCCTAGATAGATATACAGAATACCTGTGAAATTAGATTTTCACAAGAAAGTAGGGGAATTATGAAAAAAACTCTCTAAAAAGGCTTAACGGGGAAATAATGTAAAAGTTTGAGAAACACTTTAGTATAGGTACCAATCATCATCAAAATATAATGAAAAGACAAAAGTAAATGATAAGGAAGGACAAATATTTTTTAAATTCCCATTATGTGATTATACAAACTATGAAAAAAGTGTTTTATATCTCAATTTTTAACAATTCAAGGTTGTCATAGCACTGTGGAAATATTTTTTAATTGTTTTTGAAAGGTTATAGATGTTGGAATATGTATAAAAGATGTGTCTATCTTCTCTTCAGAAAACATATTCAAAGGTCATCGGTTAATTTTTTTCACTTCTTTTACTTTATTCATAGGAGAATTAGCCCTGTCCTCAGGTTTGGCTTCACAGTCAAATGTCACACAATGGCTCCATCAGAAAGATCCATCACTAATGGTTGAAAAAACAAGGGACTGTGTCATAGCAGCAAAAATCTGCCAGGAATCTGAACATTGCACTTTGTTGTATGAGAATTTTAAGAAAACCTGTGGGAGGGAATCGGAACAATGCAAGACCCTTGATGGAAGCCACCTGTGTGCAGCATTAAGCAAAAGTCTGAAGGAAACGACCTTGGGGAATTGTCAATGCAACGACCCTTCGAGAGTAGAGTGCATGGAAATTTGGAGAAGTTTGTTTGAAGACAGTTGTATACAGGCTGCTCAAATGAATCAAGTTCCAGCCTTCAGTGAAGACTATGAAGATGGATTTAACCAAGGCATTGTTTCGGGTTGGTATTCAAAAGAATTTAGGAACATTAAGTATAATCACAAATATGAGTTAACTAAACAATATTTAATTTCTGATTCCAGCTTTTCACTTCTGCCTGTGTTTCTCCCAGGAAATTAAAATCTTAAAAAGAATACTATGACTATGTCTAAAAGTGATAATGAAGAAAGAAGCAAATGCTAAAAGGTTTTAGCAAAATGTTAAATTCATTCATTTATTGAATAAATACTTATGAGACATGTATAATGTGCTAGGTCCTGTGCAACAGGATTAGAAAACAAAACAAAACAAAATCTCCCTGTCCTCCATAGAAGGAGCTTATTGATTTTTAGAGGATTTTAGAAATTAAAAAATAGATCAAAGCGGTAAGTGATAATGATTTATTTAGTTAATAAATCTTTCTTTTGAGTGCCTTCTGTGCCCTAGGCCTATTCTAAGATGGGATAAAGCAGTAAACAAAAACCCCTGGAAGCAAACTCTGAGACAGAGGTTTGCACATAGATAATGTAGTGGGCTTAGGTCTCAGGAACAAAATCAAAAAGGAAGACAGGAAAATAGGTTTGGGTAGAGGGAGAAGCTAAAATGCAATACAATGGCTGTAGTGAACTTAGTTGATTCCACAGCAAACTTGGACCTGGAGTGGCATTTCAGAAATATCACACCCATTGAGGCAAGGGAGCTGATCCTTGAACCCCTCAAAGGGATTAGTCCTTACATCTGAGCTGTCCCTTGGGTAAGTCTGTTATCTTGGGTGTGACAACTTTCTTTGGATGAGGGCAATGCCAGGAAAAGGACCAGTGTGACCCAACACCCAAAATACTCCCAGCAGCTGGGGATGTTTGTACCTGGATCATCACAGGGGGGATCTAAGTAGTGAGCCACAGCATCCAGTATGGGGACAAAGAGGAAATTAACAGGATAAGTGATTTTAAGACATAGATCTTAAACACTATAAATGCTAAGGAGAAAACCAATATAGGTAGGGGGCAAAAGAGGTCTGAGTGGGTGGTTTGTAATTTTATTAGGATGGCCAGAAAGTTGTTTTGAAAAGTTGATGTTTAGTAAAGATTGAACGTGGCAAGGGAATGAGTCCAGTGGGTGTCTAGGTAAAGAGCGTTTAAGGCAGAAGAAACAGTTATGTGAAGGTCCTGAGCTGGGAATATTGAGGTGGATGGTTGAGGAAAAGCAAAGAGAACACAGCTAGAGTTGAGAGAGCAGGGAAGAGAGGTGTAGGAGATGAGATCTGATGTAAAACCGGGGAGAGCCCTGGCCAGTGGGGCACAGTGGTTAGAGCGCCCGCCCGTGTACCAAAGGGTCACGGGTTTGATTCTGGTCAAACGTACCTGGGTTGCAGGTTCAATCCTCTTACCCTGATGTTTCTCTTCTCCCTCCACCCTCCTCTCCTCCATTCTCTCTAAAAAATCAATGGAAAAAAACATCTTCAGGTGAGAATTAACAACAACAACAAAAATGGGACAAGATCATGAAGGGCATTGCAGGTCATTTCAAAACTATTGGCTCTACTCTGAGTGATACTGGAAACCTCTGTCTGTATTTCCTGCCAGGCTGTGGAGGCTCCATGGCAGGGACTGCCGATTCGTGTCTTTGGTATGGTACCTGATACATAGTAGGAACTCAACCAATGCTTCTTCAATGAATAATTACATGACCACGGAGTTTACTTCCATCCATAAGATCCTCCAATTCTATAATTGTAATTCCCAAGAACTCTGAGAAGCTAAAATAATGAGAGGTGGAAATAGTCTTCAAATTGCATTTCAATCTAATTAAGACCCTACTGGGAAGAGGTTTTTTTCTGGATCCGACAATATTCCCTCTGTTTTTTCTCCCCAGACAGATTCTTTGTTTACTTCAGTGCACATGGCCTAGTCGTTAGCATTTGTTTAAACCTTCCAGTAACTGAATCCTCGCAGCAGGGCTGTTGAACTCACTCGAATGATATTTCTGGGGTTTATTTTTCTTCATCTGTTCCTCACTAATTTTGAGTATCAAGGGTTAAAGAAGTGTTACATGAGCTTGTATGTATTTTTGTTTAATTCTTCATTTCTAAATGTAACCCACATTCTCCTATTAAATTTAGAGAATTGCTCACTAATGAAACTCTTTGTTTTCTTTTTAGATAACATAAAAGAGGATAATAAATTCAAGTGGAATCTAACTACTCTTCCCTCTCATGATAATGTTTATAATTTATCATTTTGATCAGCATTCTACAAACTGGCAATATAATTTAAAATGTAGTTACTAGGCGCCTTAAATATGTTTCAATACAAAATAAAGTGTGATGCTCCTCAATATTTGAATGTTACAAAGTGCAACAACATCTTTGCATTTCTTACACTAATGTATCAAAGCAAGTGATTTGCCCTTTTGTCATCTATTTCCTGTAATGCTGAGGAATACTTTACAATGAAAACCAAAGACTAGATCTTGGTTAAATTTTGTGGATATTTTGATCACATAAATTGAATTGTTCCAGGCCAACTGTTTCTGTGTATATGTGTGTGTGTGTTGGGGGCGAGGGGTATTCACATGTGCCTCTGTTTTCTAGAATATGAGCATCTTTATATCTTAGAATAACTATATGGAGCCTTTAGTTGAGATTTTCCTCCCAAATAAAAAGTGCATCAGAATAAGAATCATTTTGATTTGAGCCAATGAACTTATCATAAGCTGTACAGCTGAAATGAAATTTCTGAAGATTTATTGTTTACATTTGAGAAACTTGGACTCGAGGATTTTTTCTTCAGCTCAGCTTTGGCCCTGCACACTTCCCATCTCTTCTGGATCACAATACGTGTCCAGTAGAGATGAAGGATGATTCCAATAGTCCACTACTCGGGTCTCAGTAAATTCATAGTCACTCTAAAAAGAAAGGAAATGTTTGCTCAAAATAGAACATCGCTCCAAAGTTGTGTTTTGCTCGTAGACGTCTCACTGTGTTTTGCAGATTCTGTAAAGACAGCTTTATGTTTACATTGTCATGACCTGGGCATGTCATTGCTTTCAGGAATGAAAGGGATCCGGTCCTGTTTGGAAGTGGCAGAGACGTGTGTAGGGGATGTGGTCTGTAATACACAGTTGGCCCTGTACCTTAAAGCTTGCTCAGCAAATGGAAATCTGTGTGATGTGAAACACTGCCAAGCAGCCATACGGTTCTTCTATCAAAATATGCCTTTTAATATTGCCCAGATGTTGGCTTTTTGTGACTGTGCTCCATCTGATATACCTTGTCAGCAGTCCAAAGAAGCTCTTCACAGCAAGCCATGTGCAGTGAACACAGTTCCACCCCCCACTTGCCTCAATGTAATTCACAGCTGCCGAAATGATGAATTATGCAGGTGAGTAAAAACACGCATACCTTACTTTCTTATTTCGGCACCTTATTTGTTACAGTCCAGTCCTAACACTTGATCTCATTACATTAGCTGGAGTTCCCACCATTATCCAACATGATGTAAACAAAGCCAGACAATTCATTTTTTGAATCTGTGGTACATGTGTAGTATCCTTTTTTGAAATTCAAATGCAGAACATGTTTGGAATTAAAAAAAAAATCAATATGTCAGGATTTGGTCACCATAAAATAGCATTATTGAAATTATATATTCAAATTAGGTAATGAATAATGAATTAGGGTAATAAGCTTGTCTTGAACGTCAGCTTTTAATTTGCCTTTTGGTATAATCATATAGGTCTGTTAAATATCATAGAATTTTGACATGGTGATTCTTCAAACGTCAAAATAAATCCTTTCTATCTTAGACTGAAGATCAGGGAGGAGAAATAGCCTGACTACAGTTTGGATACCCCCAGCACACCAATACTACTCTTCCCAACGTCATACCTTTGAGTCTAAGGGGGATAATGTTAGTCATTTGTTTATGCAAAAAAGTTTTATCAGGCACCTAGGCCTCAGTGTACAAGAGACAAAGATGCCTGCCCTGTGGAGCTTATATTTTAGTGGGAGAGACAGGCAATACATAAGAAAAATGCATATTATATTTTACTCTATTGTAAGGTAATGAGTGCTCTAGAGATTAACAACTTCAGCAGAAAAACAGAAAAAGGGAGGGGGTTGTGTATGGGCAGAAAGCATAGTGATGTAAATGGGGTGGCCCCAGTAGAGGGCATTTACCAGCGTTGAAGAAGTGAGGGAGGTAATGAGCCTCTCTCAGTAAATACCCAAAAGAAGAGATACTAAACAGGCCAGCTGGTTCTGAGGAACAAATGTGTGTGGCCTGTTAAAAAAGCAATGAGGGCAGAGAGTTCAATGGGAGAGCCATGGAGAAGCAGTTAGAGCTCTAACTGCAGGGGGTGGGGCCTAGATCACCCAGGGCCTTGAGGGGCGCCAATAACTTCGGTCTTTACTCCAAGTCACGTGGAGAAGTACTGGGGGGGTTGAGCAGAGGTACGAAGGATCTGGCTCACTTGTTAAAACTTCAACTCTAGCTGCTAGTTGAGACTAGACTGTACTTTTGCAGATAACTACCCCTGGGAACCATAACTCTAATCCAACTCTGTGGCTATTTCTTTTCCTCACCGTGGTCATTAACACATTTCTGTGTATATTGAAGATGAATTTATCTTTTGTGTGGTAGAAAATCCGCAATCAAGTGGGCCACCTTGGACAAGAGTAAGAAGACAGAGGAGAAAAGGAAAATACTAAATAAATTCGATGAGTCCGAACTACTTGTAATAGTGATGTCACATGTTGAAGGAGCGTGAATTAACAACAAGTGTTAAATTGTATAATTTTTAAATTCTTCATTTGTTTCTTTTTTGGGTAATTCTTTATATTAATTCATTTGCCTGATGCCTTCTATTAAGGGCCTTTTTATTTCATTTTATTTAAATGAATAAAACTCCATATACTGCAAATTCACTTAAAGGTCAAGATAAACATTTGTGTGGAGAAGTAGCTCAGTGTGTGATAGCTCAGGGTAAGATCTCTCAATGTGTCACCTTGTTTCAACCACAGCAAATTAACTAAAAGATTTAATGATAACTTTCTGAAGAGGCTGGTTCTTGGTGAACTACTTTCTCTGGTCTTGTCAAAAGATAACTGTCAACTATCTTAACTCCTTTACTCTGTCATTATAACTTGAAAAAGTTGCTTCAGATCTTGTAAACATTTGTCAGAAAAGACAAATGCCTCCCTATAACACACATTCAATAAGATAAAGGGTAAAGATCTGAAGAGAATGCTAGGACATTGACATATTTTTTGCTTCAACTTATATAGAATGCAAAAGTTCTTAAAGTTTTATTTGAGGATTCTGTCATGAAAATATTTATCAGCTATTTTAAGGTTTATTAATAACTTTTCTTGAGTTAAAAATAATGTTAATGGTAAAAATATTTTATAATGCAATTTAGAATTTTCAAACTCATTTCTATCCCCCAAATTCCTTTTTTGTCAAATATTATATTTCATTGATTCGAAGATGTAAATTTTTTACAATTTTAATATCCCTAACATGTTTGGGTTGAGTCTTAAGCTCAATGACAAGAAAACATTTATTAAATTATAACAATAATCTTATTGCCAACAAGTGATTTCAGTTGTAATAAAGTAATGATAACTCCTACATTCAATGAAATATGATAAAAATGTTTGATTATACTATTTTTCTCATATTACAAATAGAATATTACCATTTATCAATTATCTATCATCTGCCTATACTAACAATGAAACCTAACAAAATTTTAAGCAGCCAGGGGACGCCTGTTGCTGTTGTTTAAATCAATCCCTATAAGAATACTACATGTCTATGTAGATGGGCACCCAGTTTTGCCTGATACCACTGCAAGGGCCCTAGATATGCAATCACATTATCCTAAAATATTTGCATTCAACCTTCAAAGAATGAATCTAAGCTTACCTATTAAATATTTTAATGGCAAGTCACTGGATCTACTGTTACAGTCCTTGAGAAGTCCTGTGATGGATTCTGAAGCATACACTCTTAAAATAAACTCACCTTGGCATTGACACCTTCTCCAGTTGACTGATACATTTGTTGGTAACTCTGCCAGGACTCCTGGGATTCACCACCTCTCTAAAGTAGTGCAGGGTCCAGAACATAACAGGCACTTAAACATTGTTATATGTTTTCTTCCATTTTTAAATAATTTTCACTTAATTTTTATAATTCATTGACCTACATATACATGTCTTCTCTTATGTAATTTCTATCTTTCATAGATTAGTTTAGAGTAAGGACTGTGTGTCTTCAATTTATTTTCACCGTGTGCAAATAGTCCCTGAATGAATACTTTATAGAAGTAATGGAAATATTATACAATATTAGTAGTCAAGGTGAAAAGACAAATCTTGTCATTTTCTCAAGCAAATTTTGCCTTAGGGAGATTTCCAGCATTTATAGTAAATTATCATTAATGTAATTCAGATGGAAAAAATCTCCAAAAGAAAAACCATTTCTTCAGTGAGAATATTAAGCCCTTTATCACTTCCTTTATTAGCTGAAAAGCCTGTACATGGGGCAAAGGAGAGCACTTGGGGTTGAAAATACAGCTTCTGTCCCTGTTCCAGATTCTTCAATACATGATAGGTTTTGAAACTCCTTTATTTATTTGAAGAAAAAAAAAAGAAATTAATATAAAGACTATATTTTAATTAATTTTGTCCAATACAGATACTCACTAGAAGGTGAGATTATGTTTTTCCAATTATCAATGTTTAGGAACATACAGAAACTTATAATGCATTTATGAACTCAAGAAAGTAATAAAAAAATCATTTGCTTAGAAAAAATTCTAACTACTTTTTCTTATTGTTGACAGTACTATAAATATCCTCCATTTTCCTCCCCTTTGCTCCCCTCAACCCAGCCCCTGCCCCACCCCAGGCCTTTACCACACTATTGTCTGTTTCCATGGGCTATGCATATATGTATAGAAGTTCTTTGGTTAATCTCTTCCCCAACCCCTCTCCACTCTGAGATCTGTCAGCCTGTTCCAAGCATTCTTGCCTCAGCACCTATTTTGTTCATCACTTTATTTTGTTTATTAGATTCCACATATAAGTGATATCATGTTATATTTGTCTGTCTCTGCCTGGCTTATTTTGCTTAGCATAATACTCTCCAGGTCCCTCCATGCTGTCGCAAAGAGTAAGATATCCTTCTTCTTTACAGCTGCATAGTATTTCATGGTGTAAATGAACCACAGCTTTTTTATCCACTCACCTACTGATGGGCACCTGGGCTGTTTCCAGATCTTAGCTATTGTGAATAATGCTGCTATAAGCATAGGAGTGGATATATTCTTTCTGATTAGTGTTTCAGGATCCTTAAGATATATTCCTAGAAGTGGGATCACAGAGTCAAATGGCACTTCCATTTTTAATTTTTTGAGCAAACTCCATACTGTTTTCCATAGTGGCTGCTTCAGTCTGCATTCCCACCCAACAGTACACTAGGGTGCCCTTTTCTCTACAATCTGGCCAACACTTGCTTGTTGATTTATTGATGGCAGCCATTCTGGCAGGTGTGAGGTGATGCCTCATTATAGTTTTAATTTGCATCTCTCTGATAATTAGTGTTGAGCATCTTTTCATATGTCTCTTGGCCATCTGTATGTCCTCTTTGGAGAAGCGTCTATTCAGGTCCTTTGCCTATTTTTAAATTGGATTGTTTGCCTTCTGGTGTTGAGTTATATAAGTTCTTTATAGATTTTTGGAAATTAACCCCTTATCAGATGTATCATTAGCAAATATGTTCTCCCATACAGTGGATTCCCTTTTCATTTTGATGATGGTTTCTAAAGCTGTGCAGAAGCTTTTTAGTTTGATGTAGTCCCACTTGTTTATTTTTTCCTTCATTTCTCTCACCATAGGAGCTATATTGACAAAAATTCTGCTATGTGAGATGTCCGAGATTTTGCTGCCTATGTTTTCTTCTAGGATTTTTATGATTTTGAAACTTACATTTAAGTCTTTTATCCATTTTGAGTTTATTCTTGTTTATGGTATAAGTTGGTGTTCTAGTTTCATTATTTTTCATGTACCTGTATAATTTACCCAATACCATTTATTGAAGAGACTGTCTTTACTCCATTGTATGCTCTTGCCTCCCTTGTCAAATATATTTTAAAGATTTTTAAATTGATTTTTAGAGAGAGAGAGGGAGAGTGAGAGAGCGAGAGAGAGAGAGAAACATGGATGTGTGAGAGGATCATCAATCGGCTGCCTCCTGCATGCCCCCTACCAAGGATTGAGCCTGTAACCCAGGCATGTGCCCTAATCAGGAATCAAACCATCAACCTTTCAGAGCATAAAACGATGCCCAACCAACTGAGCCACACAAGCCAGCGCTCCTTTGTCAACATTAATTCAATGTAATGGTGTGGGTGGATTCCTGGGGCTCCTGCCCTGTTCCATTGATCTATATGCCTGTTTTTATGCCAGTACCAGGTTGTTTTGATTACCGAGGCTTTGTACTATAGTTTGATATCTGGTATTCTGATCCCTCCAACTTTGTTCTTCTTGCTCAACATTGCTGCAGCTATTCGGGGTCTTTTTTGGTTCCATATGAATTTTTGGAATATTTGTTCTAGATCTGTGAAATATGCCATTGGTGCTTTGATAGGGATTGTGTTGAATCTATAGATTGCTTTGGGAAGTATAGAGGTTTTATTGATGTTTATTCTTCCAAACCTTGAACACTGTACATGCTTCCATTGTTTTTATCTTCCTTTATTTCTTTTTCCATGTCCCATAGTGTTCTGAGTACAGGTCTTTTAGCTCCTTGGTTAAGTTTATTCCTAGATGTCTTATTTTCGTTGTCACTGCAGTGTTCTAACTACTTTTTAAAATCAAAACTTCACAATATACACATTTATTTTAAGTGCCATAAAACATTTATAAAATTTGACTGTATATTAGGTCACAAAGTTACACAGACCGCATTCTCTTACATTTTGCAATGTAACTGGAAATCAATAGCAAAAATAAAAACAAAATGATTGACTTCATTTAAGAAATTACTTTTAATCATTTGTTTGAACAATAAACCAAAATAGAAAATTGTGGAATATCAAGAACATATGGATAAATAAAACATTATACATCAAAACATTTCAAACCCAAAACAAAATTTCTATGATATAAATTTTTTCCATATTTAAAAATTTCTTTAAAATGATTTAGGTAACTTATGTACCAAAGTATTTTTATGATTTTTAATATTTAATTAAATATCCATTAATTCATCATCTTTGCCAAATTTTACAACTACTTTTATAGATAAATCATGTAACTTAATCTTTTTTTATTGATTTTAGAGAGAGAGGAAGGGAGACAGAGAAACATCAATTTGTTGGTCCACCCACCTGTGCACCCATTGGTTGCTTCTTGTATGTACCTTGACCGGGGATCAAACCCTCAACCTTGGCTTATGGGAACAACAGTCTAACCAACTGAGTTACCCAGCCAGGGCTTCATGAAACTTAAACTTAGAAAAACACATTTTTTTAAAAAAAAATGTCACCTAGGTACAAATTTATTCTCATTCAACTCATAACTGATAATATTGTCAATACTTATATTTAGATAACATCTTACGAATAACCCATAAATGCATTAAAGGAACATATTTGTTTTTCTGGCCTCAAAATTACATGCTCAAAAACTGTGTTATATTTCTTTAGGTATGAATTAATTTTGCCAATGTATTAAAAAGCTGATTTTTTTAAGATGACTTAAAATATGAGATTATTGAAAATAATGTGGTTTATGGATTTAAGCAGAGTAGCACCATGTGGACAAATAAGTTCATGGCCAGTGTCATGTATTCAGAGTTTTCATGCAGATTTAATGGTGACCTAGTCAAGAAGGGGTAAAAAGTAACTTTAGGTGATAAATATTAAGTAGGAAGATTAATGTCCTTGGTTCCACTGAGAGAAATATCATGTTACTGTGAAAGTTTCAAAACTAAAATTATTGTGCATTATTGAGATTTTTATGCAAAGCTAGTACAGCACAAATACATGGTCAGAAAAGTTATGAATGCATGTGGTTCTAATGGATTATCTTGGCAATTAAAGAAACTCATAAATTTTTGCTTTAAATTAGCTCTTGCTGCCTGAGAAGCTCAAAGCATTTTTAAAATTCTAATTGGTCCGCTTAGAAACGTTAAGAAATAGTATAGTGCCTCCTATCCTGTGGGAAAACTGGCTTGAAAGGTCAAGAGCCTTATCTAAACTCACTTTGTGTGAAACAGTGGCCAACTGCTAGTCAACTAAAACCATATTCTGCTTCAAAAACACTGCTAATAAATCTCCCAAGTAGTTCAGACTGCAAATCATCAGCCATTGAAACAAAATTAGTAATGAAGGAAAATTCATCCAGGGGATCGTAAACTTAGCCTCTGTCTTTCATCACAAGAGGAAAGTAATTCACAAGGTTTCTCTACTTTTTCTCCCACATTCTCTGTTGGGATGTTTAAACGTACAAACTTAGTTTTCAGGTATCTACTGGCATCTAGGAAGCGTTTTGTTTTATGTCAGTCTTTCATTACATGAGGAAAAACCTCATGCTAATGAGAAATAATATTATTCAGAGATTAATTCCATTTCTTGACTCCTTCTAGGAGGCGCTATAGAACATTTCAGTCAAAATGCTGGCAGCCTGTGACTAGAAAGTGCCATGAAGATGAGACTTGCATCAGTGCCTTGAGCAAGCGGGACCTCACCTGCTCAGGCAGCGATGACTGCAAAGCAGCCTACATTGGTACCCTTGGGACGGTCCTTCAAGTGCAGTGCACCTGTAGGAGCATTACACAAAGTGAAGAACCTTTGTGTAAGGTTTTCCAGCATATGCTTCATAGAAGATCATGTTTCAGTAAGTTATACATATTCAGTAAATTATATAGAAGATATATTTCTTGCTTTTATCTATACAGAACAAAGAAGTAATCTAGCACAGAAAACTTGTTCACAAAGATAACTTTGTTTGTGATTCCATTTTAAAATCTGCTTTCTATGTTTTGTGCATTTGGTACTTTATTCATTTGTCTGCAAATGGTACATGTTTTTAACTTATATGATTGGTCATTCCTATATATTATTTATTGATTTCAATATCAACAGCATAAAAGGTTTATCCTATTAGATAACTGAATGTATCATGTATTTATTGTAAGTAACAACCCCCTCCCAAAAAAACTTAGGGACTTGAAATAACCATATATTTGCTCACAGTTCTGCACACTTGGCTTGGCTCAGTTGGGTGGCTCTTCCGATGATCGGCCTTACCTGTGGTGATCGTGTAGCTACAGTCATCTGGTGGCTCAACTGAGTCTGGACAGTGCAAGATGGTGTTTAGCAAGCATTGTTGGCTAATGCTCATGGTTCTTCTCCCCATGACCTCTTCAGCAGTAGTCCCTGTGACTCTTTCATAATGAAGGCAGCATTCCCAGAAGCTAAGCCCTAATGGGCAAGTACTTATTAAGTGTTTGCTTCTGTCACATTAGACATGTCTCATTTGACAAGAAAGTCACATGGCCAAGGTCAGAGTCACTACACAAGGCTATACAAGGATATATATACCAAAGTTGGATTCATCAAGGGATCATTAATTTAATAATCTGGCTGCCCCAACCTATGTATAACATATTGACTCTTCCATTTAGTTTCTCTCCCCTTGGTCTTTAATATGTTTGCTAATCTAGCTGTAATGATGGGATGGAAAAAGGATTTTCTAAAATTATTATTTATCAGTTTTAGAAAGAAGAAAGCTGAGAGTTAGGAATTTAAATAATTTGTCCAGAGTCTTAAAGTGAGCAAGTGGTTGAGAGGGATTTGTCTATGAGTCTTGGAGAAAGTACTGAAGGAAATGATCATATACTAACTCAAGACCTCACCATTGTCCATCTTAAGAGTTAGTCCATGCATCCATCCAAATTTCAAAACATCCTCAGGCCCCTAGGCCCCTAGTTGAAACATCAAACCTGCCAACACCATTCCTGGGAGGAAATAATAGATGTTTCATCGCAAACCAAATCTTTATATTTATGAAACATATTTGAGAGATACAGCAAAGTATGTATCTACATCTGTACCTATACATTTATCTAGTTAACTACAGATACACACATTTTANATTTATGAAACATATTTGAGAGATACAGCAAAGTATGTATCTACATCTGTGCCTATACATTTATCTAGTTAACTACAGATACACACATTTTATTTTTTTTTTTCTATTTTTCTTTACAGATACTAATGTGATTAAAATTGTGATTTGTTGTATATTAGGTAATAGACATACAATTCAGAATATATTGTTTTGATTCCAACAGAGTTCTCTGTGGAATTTCTATAATTTTTATAATTAGCACTATAGACATATTTCAATCAAAACATGATTCAAAGAAGAAAAACGCAGCATGATATATAAGGAGTCATATTTTCTAAAAAATCATGCTCTCTGATTAATATTAGGTGGCTAATTCTGTTGGAACTAAAGGGATTTATAATGAATGGCTCATAACATTACAGAAGGAAAGAGCAAATAAAATAATGTAAACCAATAATATATACAATTACATTATCATGGTTATTTACATGTGGTTTCTCCATATTAAATGGTAGTCAGGAAAAAAAAAAGAAGTAGATCCTACAGGTTAGTGATAACTCTGTTCCTGGGCATAAGTTCCCTACAAATGCCAGTCCCAGCAGCCTAATTCTAGCTCTAATCCAGGTTTTCTTTCTTGTATTTTTAATTATTGTTATATTTTAGTTCCATTGCGTTTAGATACTAAAACCTGTACAGAGCAAAAATTATTTGTAGAGAAACAGTAGAAATGGAATTTAAAAATCCATAAACATTGAAGTAGTATGAACAACGAAAAAATCCAAAACTACTTCACTTTCTTCACTCACTAAACTTTATGAGATTTGCTCCTCAAACATTACCTACTAAAAGCAGGAATTTTAAGTGACAGTTTTATAGGCTTAAAGGAACCTTAAAGGCCTTCCATCACAGTCTCCATACTTGAATTAAGAGGAAAAGTTTCAAACAAAAACAAGAACCAAATCCTGAGGCCTGGCTAGTTCTAAAAATCTTTATCCCCTGCCCCATATGCTTGGGAAGCAGCAACAGCACGTTTGCGCGAACTGGCTCTCTCGCCAGTGCCCCCGACTTCTCACATCGCCCCAGCACGCTCCCGCATTATCAAAAAGATCTGTCATTACGGCCTGTTTCCAAAGCCCTTTAGCTTTTGCTCACTTTACTTGAAAGAAGCAGAATTGAGAAGACAATTGGGGAAGGGTTTCTGTTTGCACATTTCTTTGGCTTAAAGCATTATTTTTCAAACTCATTTAACCTCAGACCACAGTAAGCAATGAATTTTCCATTAGCTTTTTATATGTAATGTCTTCCGTTTTTTAAAAAAACAAAACTTATTGTTATTCTATTCCATTAATCCTTTTCAATGTTGACTACTACCCACTAAATGGATTTTATAACTCACTAATGTGTTTCTCTCAGAAGTTTGAAGAACACTTGCTTGGAGCCTGAATTCATCTGGAAATAATCTACATGGATGTAACCAAATCAGTCTTTTAATAATTATAATTATAAAGTTTGAGTACTTAATTCTGGTCACATTTTCTTACTTAATCTTAACAATTCCATGAACTAGAGGCTATTACTGTCTTTGTTTTACACATGAGATAAAGGAGACTAAGAGGTTAGATGTCTTGCTCAGGGTTCTACACCCAGAGCGCAGTAGACTCAGGATCCTAAACCCTGGCTGGCTGACTGGTAGCCCACTATGTCGTCTTGCCTGTGAAACGGTAGACAGC